TGAGGAAAGGAAAGAAAATTATCACAGTGGTGGTGGCTCTGCACGTATCTTCTACTGTGGGGTTTGGACCTTCATGAATGGCCAGAAATTCAGCTCTGAAGTGGTCTTTATGCAAGCTGGGAACTCACATGGGGCTGAAAGGAGCAGAACTCTGAGGGCATCTTGGTGGGATTGGCAGTGGTGCTGAGCACCGGCCCATCAGCCAGACCCACACTGGCCGTCGAGCGCTCTCAGCCAGCCCTTTGCCATCTTGTCCCCAGATCGATTTGCTCCTGTACCCTTCCTGCTCCCACACCCCTCCTGAGACGGGCCGACGTCTCTTCTTTGTGGCAGGACCTGAACGATGCAGCATCTGGTCTGTGATGTGCAAATGTGTTCAGCGCCTGGGCTGCTCCAGGTGCCTCCATCACACAGGACATGCTGATGAGCAGTAACACAGCCTGTGCCAGCGGGTGCTCTGGTTAATTAGGCTGTGCTTGTACAGAAAGCAAACCTGTTCTTTTGCCCTGGGACAAGGCTCACCCCTTGTCTTTTGCAGAGTCTGCTGCAGAGTGGTCTTGCCTGGCTCAGACAAGTGTCCAGCCGTAGATCAACACACATGGTGTACACTTGTGGCACAAGGAGCTGTGGAGCAGCAACTGCTCTCGGGCAGAATCGGTGCCCAGAGCTCAGGATGCAGGGAGGGAGGACAGAGAGAGTGAGGTCTGGCTGCAGTGATGTCCTTGGGGAACAGGGGATTGTGGGGACACTCCTCAGTGACTTTGTTTTTGCTTTTCAGGGTTGAAAAACTCCCTGGTGGCCCATGACATGGCATTTGAGATGACACGGGCTCCCTGGAGCCCAGAGCAGCAGATAGAGCGGCCACGACTCACCAAGAAAGTCCTGGACACAGAGGACCAGGCTGCCTTCCGACTCCAGTCAAAGATGCCCAGATACATCTACTTCGCAGCCAACAGCAAAAACAAGTGGGGCCACCAGCGTGGTTACAGGATCCAGATCACCAGTTTTGCAGGGGACCACATCCCCGAAGCCAGCTCCATGGAGAGAGCCATCAGCTGGGCAAGGTCAGGCTGTTCTGGCTGGGGTGGCAGGTTCTCAGAGGCTCCCCAGCTCTGCTAGATGGGAAGGCATCACAGGGATGTCCCTTGATGGCGGAAGCACAGAGAAACATTCTTCTGGGCTGAGGTTGCTCCATTGGAGCAAGCCTGTGCTGTGCAGGCTCTTTCAGGAGCTGACTTAGCTCTGCCCTGACTCAGGGGGCTGCTCCCATCTCTTTTCTTGTCCTCAGGTACCAGCTGGCTGTCACCCGGCGGAAGGAGGAGGAGCCCACCAGCACCAGCATCTACAACCAGAATGACCCCTGGACACCCACCGTCACCTTCGCCGACTTCATCAACAACGAGACCATCACCAATGAGGTGAGCTGGGGTCCCCTGGGCTGGAGCTGTAACAGCCATCCCCAGGCTCAATGGGAGCCCCAGGGACTGAGCAACCCTGGTATTGCCCACAGGACAACATGCTCAGCTGGGAGAGCAGCAGCCCTGGAGAATCAGGAAAATGGGTTTAAGCACCCCCTTCTCCATAAGTCTGCTCGGCGCTTTGGTGAGGGTGTGCAGATCAGAGCATGCAGAGCAGGAGCTTGTTTCTCCCTGTGGAGAAATGCTGGCAAAACATCAGGAAAATCTCTGTGAGGCCGGAGTGAGGCCACAGAGGTCAAGGCAAGGGCCCTTCCGCTGGATGGATATTGTGGCCATGGCTGCAGGCAGGCCCTGGGGGAAGGGAGGGGATCTTTCCCAGGAGGGGGGAGCTCAGTGTGTGGGAACGCAGCCACTTGGTGGCTATGGGTTCCCCTCCTTCTCTCCTGTCAGTCCCCATGGCCCCCTGTGGATTTTGGTCACTGCTGCTACAGCTTCTAAACTAATCCCGGGCTTGTGGCTTTTCCCTGCCTAGGACCTGGTTGCCTGGATAACCACTGGATTCCTTCACATCCCACACTCTGAGGATATTCCCAACACTGTGACTGTGGGAAACTCGGTTGGTTTTCTCCTGAGACCCTACAACTACTACGACCTGGACCCCTCTATATACTCCCACGATGGTGTGTTTTTCACCAACGAGCAGGACTTCATGGCATGTGAAATCAACCCTCTCGCCTGCCTGCCCAAAACTGCCTCTTGTTTGCCAAACTTTCCCCCATTCACCTATGATGGTTTTCAAAACATGAGCAGGCTTTAGTGCTGCAGGATGGTGTGAGGAGATGCAGTCAGAGACACCAGGTTGACTGTTCTGTCTCAGATTTTCTTATTTTAGTGAAGTTGTCTCAATTTCCAGTTGTGTAATGACTTCACATTTTATCATTGCTTTTGAAATAGTGCTCTTGAAAAAGGAAGTGTGATCTTCCTGGCATGGTGCCACATGGGAGTCTATGTTATCTGTTAATTGCTGAGTTTGAGTCTGTTTCAGGAGGAAAGTGAGGAGAAAACCCTTTTCCTCTGCTGTAGAAGTAAGTGCTATGTAGTGCATATCTCAGGTTAAAATAATGAAAATGGTGCTGGTCCAGTGCTCTCGAGTGTCTCGTTCTTACAACTCACAGCAGTGTCTCCTGGGGTGTGATGCTGGTCTCTGCCATGTTCTCTGTGCCCACAAACCAGCCCAGCAATGTGGCTCTGGGTGCCTGTCAGGGCATGGGGACATCCAGCTGGAGGGCAGGAGGGATGGGCTGGGGTGTCCTGGGGCTCTGGGGCCATGACTGAGGTGGGCACTGGCACCAAGCCCTGTGGGTGTTGGGGGAAGCCTGGGTTCAGGGCCAGGACTCCATGGGCTGAAGCTCTCAGGTACTCAGTGCTGAGCACAGGGGAGGAATGCAGAGGGGACCTTTGCAAGGTCTCATGGCTGCTGGCACTGCAGCATGGCCAGTGCCACTGCCCATTTGCCAGGATGCTGGTCAGGCTCTGGAGCCCTCATCCCCCTCCTCGCAGCCCCATCTGCGCTAGGATGTAGCTCAGGATCAGGGGCACATTTGTGGGGTGACAAGTGTCTGTCCCCTTTGTCGCGGCTGCAGGACCATGGGGATTTTGGCAGCAGCGGGTGATGCTGGTGGTGGGGCTGTGTCAGGATGGGGCCGTGGTGCTGTGCCCAGCACTGCTCTGCATGAGGAAGGGTTGTCTCTGCGGCCACTGCTGCCTGCCCAGCATCTGCGGGGTTAAAAGAAGGAGGAGCGGGGAGATGCATTTATTTCCTTCGAATGACTGGATCCATCCCCTTCAAGCTCTGCAGTGTATGATCTGGGACCAGAGGGAAGGACATATGCACAAGCATTAAGTTTACTTAAAATTATAAACTGCTGGCAAAGCAGTGCAAAGTTGCCTTTTATGGTTCCCAGCAAATCCTGGCAACGTGTGAGAACATCTCTGCACGTCCGTCCTGCGAGTTCCTCCAGGCTGTTTCCTGCTGAGAAAACAGGGGGGGAAAACAAACCCAGCCCCTTGTTCCCGCGGGTCACTGGGAGGATTCTGCAACTGGAAATGCATCCTGCCAGACTGCAAGAGCACTCAGTGCCTCA